GATTTTAGCCGTTCTTAATTCTCATTTTCCGCATTTCAAATACCTACATTTTTCATGAATTTACCAAACAAGTAAATTCTACAAACACAATTCATACAAGATTGGTTTAGCATATTTCTATATCTATTTTTTACACTTTTTTTGCACTAGGAGTACATTAAACAAGACAATTCATCTCAAGTCATGCTACCAGTATCATATGGAACCCTAGATTGAAAATAAACCTAATTACAAAAAGAACTCTACCCCTTGAGGCGTAAAACAACGGTAAAAAACTTCAAGAACACAAATCAAGCTCAAACTCTTGATTTTTTCAATATTTTATTTTTGAATCTTTGGTGAAATCCGTAATTTTTGGTACGTAGTCGTAGTCCTCGTCGTGTAGATGAACTTTAATTCTTGGCCCAAAGGATTCTAACCAATGGGTAGCCGTAGATCGTAGAGGCAAGTTGGAATCTCTCTTTTTTTCTCTTCTTCTTTAACTTAAGAACCAGCTGAAAAATAGGGAGAAAAGCTAATTTTCTCCCCTATTTATACCCCTTGGAATGTTTGGCCCTCAATGCGCTACATGTTCTCCATTCCCAGGTCCAATTTCGTCCTGAAATAATTAAATTTCATTCCAATTAAAGTTCAAAATATTTTTATACGAACTTCCTTTAAATTATTTTCTAATTTTCGAAATTTAATTTCATATCTCGTTTTATTAGGTCACGCGACACCCGATTCGCCTTTCTCGAAATTCGACGAAAATTGACTAGATAACTAGATTTTGTGAGACGAATCCAACGATAAGGTCCATTTCATCATCCGAGTTCTAAAAAAATTCGGATTTTGAACCCATACCGTAGTGGCAAATTACCGTTTTGCCTTTTTTCATAAAAATTCAAATTTATCCGAGTTTTACATAAATCTAATTGACCCAACCTAGTTTTAAATTGTTACCACTCAAATAAATCCAAAATTCTGAGTTCTTCCAACACGAAAAACATAAGAAAACATATAAAACATTGCCCAGTAGTTTACTAGCAAAACATACTAAAAGCCTTAAATCAACCATGTAAAAACCTACGAGAGTATTGCTTCGAGATCAAAACAAGTTCCTAAATTGGCCTAATCTTTAAATATTTACTCCTCAACTTGTCAATGTCAATGAAGTCATAGAATTGACTCCCACTATCCAAGGAAGGCACAAAGAATTTCCAGTTTACAAGCTTGTAAGACCCATTGAATTCCCCGAATAAAGGAAAAATAGGGCTACAAAGTAGGTAATTTGTTATTGCTATAATGGTAGGACCAGTAGTTTACTAGCTAAACAAACCAACAGGTTAAAACTTAATCATGTGAAGTCCTTTAAGAGAACTGCTACGAGATCAAAACAGTTCCACTTAAGTTTCATCCCGTTTCATCAGGGGCTCCCCAACAAGTTTCAAAATTGAGCTAATCTTGTATTGCTCCTGCTTTTTTGTGGACCAAGGAACTAAATTTTGTTTCGAAGCGATCAAAACATTTCTATTTCCATGAAAATCGAAATGAATCAATAATAAAAAATTTATTTGTTCTGGAATGTTTTGCCAAAAAAATAAAAATCATATTTTCTTTTGTTTCTATCTTATTTCCAAAAAATGTACAAAACATTTCTGCAACGCTTTTGTTTTCAAGATGACCAAAATTATGCACTAAAACGAAATTTTGATCCTTGGTGTGGACCACATTAAATTTCTTCACATCCTGGAACTCTGTCTCATAAGTATTTTTCCTAGCCACAACTAATAAGAAGTCACTATACCTGGTGGACAAAACTCTTTCCTATATTCCACAATATTAGAAAAGTAGACATTAATTCAAACACATGAAATGGTTGCATGGTTGACTGCCTTGACTTAAAAAATATTGAATAAAAGTTTAAATCAAGGGAAAATAGCCCTAGGCCTAAATTGAGAAGTAAAAAAGAAATAGTTCAAACTAGGATTAAGAATGAGAGTTGACGTAACTCTCCTCTTGTCACCCATATTTATATTAACTCATAATAAAATGCAAATTACAACTATACCCTTAATTAAAATATCTTAACATTTTAAAATCCCTCAAGTTGGAGCACAGATATCTTTCAAACCCAACTTGAATACATGATCAATTCTATTATTAAGTTCCTTAGTAAACACATCGACCAATTGTTCCTTGGACATCACAAATGGCATACAAATCAACTCATCATTTAGCTTCTCTTTGATGAAGTCTCTGTCAATCTCAATGTGCTTTGCTCTATCATGTTGGATTGGGTTGTGAGCAATATTAATGGTAGTCTTATTATGACAAAACAGACACATAGGTTCACCATTAAAGACATTCAAGTCTTCCATTAAGGTTTTCAGCCGCATAAGCTTACAAATACCATGAGTCATAGCTCTGTGTTCTGCCCCCTACACTAGATCTAGCCACCACAGCTTGCTTCTTGCTTCGTCAAGTAACTAAATTTCCCCTTACAAAGGTGCAATAACCTGTAGACTTCCTATCAATACTTATCTACATCTGCGAAAGCTTCTAACTGAAAGTGATCCTATTTTTTAGAACAATATTCCTTTAACTGCAGCGTGACACCAGGTTCCCCAAAGCTTCCTAGAGTGTTCTAGTGATTTCAAATTTCAGATAAACCTTGCTCTAATACCAAGTTGAAATCTCAAGATGTTATGTCTTAGGGTTTAGATTGAATAACAGGTAAGAGAAGACAGGAGAAGAGAAAACAATGCAAACTAGAGTTAAGAAGAATGAGAGTTGACGTAACTCTTCTCTCATCACCCATATTTATATTAACTCATAATAGGCTACAAATTACAACTATGCCCTTAATTAAAATATCCTAACATTCTACAAAAATGATCAAGGTAAAAATATTGCTATCAATATTAACTAACATTTCTGCTACCAGAATGAAGAATCAACAAATGGCCACTAGGAGGCGATTAAATTCAAAATAGTTATGCAAAACATAAATAAGAAGCACAAATAGATTGTAAGGTTCAAATAGTACGGATAAACCATCTTTTGCACTGTTGGATCTTCCATCATTTTCTCCAAAGCTTCCACGGACAATATAGAATCTGTATGCCCTGACCAGCATATAAATAGAAAAGCTTACTTAGGCTCTCCAATCAACAAAATATGAAATTTCAACGAAGATAAATCAGGCCAACATGGTCAAAGGCACGAAAAAGCTTTTTAAAACAGCAATTAGCAAAATTGGTTTGCAAAAGGAGGGAGACATTATTTGCAAATTTTCTTCCTCATAATGTGGGTTTTTCACAAGAAACACATTATTTTCACAAACTATCACTCACAATAGCAAGATGTCATATTTGTCTATGGAATAAAAATTATTTAGTATTTTAGGAAATCAGGAGGCAATTATTTATATTTTTTGTAGGTGAAAATCATAAGTTTTATTCCTCAACCCCTACTCACAAGTATAAAAACTCAATTGCCATAAAATTACAATACTTGCCACCAAAACCTATGCAATTTTTTTTAAAATGTAAAACCTATGCAATTGAATGACTTTATTTGTCACAAAAAAAAAAAGATGCAAAAACATCATTTCCCTTTTTTTCAATTTCTAGTTAAGTAAATTACACCAACATCTCTCATCAATCCCAAATGCTACTAAGTTTGCCATCACACACCCTTTTCATTGTGGGATATTATTATAATTCACTAAATCAAAAAATAGTCAAAATTGACCAAAATAAATAAAACGCAAGGGGGGATGAGCTACAAAACCCCAACCACTTCCATTGCATTCGTCCGTCCCCCTTCCCCCGAATGATTTTTTAGTGTTTTTTTTTCATAATTTTATATTTTAATTTTATAAGCGCAAACTTGGTATTGCATATTAATATTCAAACTTTGGTTAGTCAACTAACTGTAAAGGTTCACTTAACCTCGAGGGATCTTTTAAGTTTATGAGGAGGAAAAAAACATGGGGCACCCTTATGAATAATGGTGCAAAATGAAAACAAGCATGTTCAAGGGATTTTTTAAGTTTACATGTTCAAGTTAGAAAACAATAGATAAGCATTTATCTCCCCAGCATCAAAACTATACCCTTAATTAAATAGCATCACTTACTGGATAGTCTTTGAGTTACTTTACTGCATCAATAAGAATCAATGAAACCAGAACCCAGCAATTCTAAAATATCTATTGGGCAAGTCAATGTATCCAGCATCTGGAAAACAAATTCCATCTAAATTCATTTATCAAACTCTAAGGCCATATTCTATCATAAAGAGAAAAATGCATCAAAACGACAGTACACAACCCAAATCCAATCCCTGGTACTAATTGAGTATCCATAAACTGTTGTTTATTTTCCAAGTTCTTATATTTATGTGAAAGTCACAATTAGCAAGTATAGGGTAATATTATAATTACCCTAAATATTTCTCTACTATAAATAAGATGTAGAGCAACAAAAATGATACACAACAATCACTGATCAAAATTTTGTTTCGATGCATTATTTCGATCACCTAGGAAACAAAACGTTTCGACGTGTTTCAAAAACATTTCGACCCATTTCGGAAATAAAATGAAAAAATAAAATAAAATTTTAAGAATTATTTTTCCAAAACATTGGTCAAAATATACCAACATATCTTAAAATACCTTGAAATATTCCGAAAAAATTGTACAAATCCATTGAAACATTGCACAACACATCAAAACATTATGATGCACCTCGAAGTATTAGAATTTCTATTTCATCAATGATTTGTTTCGGTCCCCTTGAAAATTGAGACATTTTAACTATTTCAAAACGAAATTTTGATCCTTAACAACTATTCTCTTTCTCTTATATTTCCTCTTGTCTCTTCTTCTCTTTCTTACAAATCCTAATACCACTCTTACCATCTTAACTTTTATATTTTTAAGGCAAAAAATTATTACTTGCACACAATTTTATCAAAATAATAACTGGATTACAATAAAGTACTTTATGCTTTCTAGGTCCCAAATGTAACACCAATGAACATGGTGTGCTCAAAACCACCATTAATAGAACCACAATCCACTCTGATTGCACCTAAATGTGGAAATATTTAGGTCAAATGACTCTCCTCATCATTAATATTATAAGTCAGTTATTTTACTTTTTAACAAAGATCACATAGGATAATCTTACAAGAAATCCTAGAACTAAATTAACTACTCTTCAAATGAACTCGAAAATATGAGCTTTGGATGATAAACAAAGGAGGTGATTAGACAGCATAAGTTTAATTGGCATGGTTCACATTAACTATTATAGTTCTTCTGTGTGCGTTGTTTTTTTTTTTTTCTTTTGTTGACTATTGTGGAGCTACTAGGCACAGGACTGTTGATATGATAAGCATGCGAGACCAACTTATGTGAATACAGTTTATGACCCACCTGTATCTAAGGGTATTGGACATGCTGCATCTAGATATGGTTCTCATAACAACCTTACTTCTCCCCTCGGTTGACTCATTCAACAGTTGTCTTCCCTCTCTCCTTAGTTATCTAATCCTATGGCCAGTTTGGTTCCTGCTGGTAATTTTGCACATGTGGATGCCCAATCAGTTGCACCATTTTGAATTATTGATTCTAGGGTTAATGCTTACATGTTTGGTATTTCCTCCTTATTTTCTAAATTTTGTTCTTCTAACTCTCATATTACTTTAGTTGATGGTTATTTTCGACCAATACATACATGGGACTAGCGACATACATGGGACTAGCGATCTTCATCTTACCTAGTCTATATCCATAACATATGGTTTATTTGTCCCTCATTCTCCTTTTAACTTGTTATCTCCTTAAACTATCACACTGACTACAAAATGCTTATTTCTCTCTGGTTTGCTTCCCATTTTTCCTCCTCTTTTTCTTTAATCCTCATACAACTATAAGAAAGTTGAAAATATTGCAACTGGAACAACTTGAAGTCAATATTTGCAGGTCAGAGAAATCAATAAATATAGAATTTGGCAGTATTTCTAGGATGACATATTACATGTACATGAAATTTAAATCACATAACATACATACAACAGCACTGCATAGCCTACCACAATTATTTTTCAACATATAGGCGCTGTGAAAATGTTTGCAGAAAGATTTCACATAAAATCACACCTTCAAGAAGATAATGATACACCAGTAATCTAAAAGTCTTTCTTCTACTTACTATTAGATGAGGAACCTTCAGAAGTACCTATACCCGGCGTGGAAGCAGCTCCATTTTGTGAAACCTTCAACAAGGTTGAAGGATTAAATGTGTAAAAACTATAAAGACACGGGACAGCCTTGCGAAATAGCTCAACATCATAACTTTACCTGATCAGCAAACTGAGAATCCTTCGTCATAGCTGTCGCAGTCGATTCTTTAAAACTTTCAAAGTGGCTCTTCTGAAAAGTTTCTTCAGGAGAGACATCTACAAAAGCTGTATATATAAACATGAATTATTATCCATAGAACCAAAAAAACTCTAAAATCAGATAACTAGTACTTTAGTACTTGTTGATTGCAAAACCATAAGGTTAAAGGATTTGAGCTTCGTTGGTGAAGAACAAATAAAACAAAAGGATAGACTAAATGCACAAATTGAACATATCAATGAGAGCAAGCACATAATTTTACCATTGAATATTCACAGCGAATGACATGCAAAAAATTTTCACTCTCAAATTGAGATGCATCAAATTCCTTGAAAGACAAAAATTTAGCCCCTCCTCTTCTTCCCGTTCTCTTACTGATGTAATAAGCACCCATGTCCCATCTAGACCTCAAACCAGCAGCTCATCCATCAAGAGCATGATAACACCATTTACTGATCCCTAGTGGACATAACTCTAAATATTATATATAAAAATAAATAGGAGAGCCATAAAAACTTGATTTGGAAATACTGTTAAAAAATTTAAACTTAATCAACCATCCTTGAAATTGATCTAAATCATTGAAGGATAAAAAAACTGGAGTATGATTGCTAAATTCTATTTTCTCATTATACTTTTCAGTTTGAAAATAAAAGACTGAAGTTATCAAAACGAAAACGACCAAACCTTTAATATTGCTCATCACTGTTAATTACATTTATGGATACTAGTAACTTTGAGAAGTGGTAGTTTTTCTTTCTCACCTATAATTAGCTGAGGCATAACATCTGGAGGTAACTTGCTACTAATTATATCAACCTGGACATCGAAACAACTTAATCAGTGGTTGCTGAGTTGTTCCGTTATGTTGACAAGAGCTGATGGCCTACACTTTCAGTTTGTGCGCTGTTATGGACACATGGTGGAACCTGTCAGATGTTCACCTACACCTAGAGCATATGCTACTTATTTTTGTTTAACCATATGCTACTTGTTCTAGCCTTTATATGTGTGTCTCTTCTAAACATATACCTGCTAGGATATGCATTTTTTTCTACCGACAGGCAACATCCCATATGCCTCGTCTCAGACACACCACAAACAGACATAGAACACTTGATATACCTGAAAAGAATTCTATGTCATGAAGAAAATCCAAAATAACCCCCTTAATGATATGTGGCTCTGGTGAAATCACCTAAAAACATTCACCCGACTGAAGTTGTGAAGCCAATTTCACAGACATCGATGCTTGGAATCTCAGCACTTGATTTGGATTTTGATCTCTTTTTCGGTCAAAAGGTGATTGATTAAATAATCAAACTAGGCTTTATTTTGGGACAAGCAAATTGGACTGTTGTATGCTGGTCAGTTCTTTTCTGATAAGCTGACAAAACTGAGATAACTACTGATACGATAGAGCTATGATAAACAACATATTAAGTGGCAAGTTCTAGTCGATTAGTGATCTAGCAACTATTGAAAATCAGCACCTCAGATTATTACCTAATTTGGTCCGGACCCCATTAATCAAGGGCGCTGAGAAATGAACAGAATACAGATCTAAACTTTGCCAATGCATGCACAAAGAGGTTGTTAAAATATTAGTATTTTGAACACCTAACCTTGTGCTTGTTAGTCGAAGCATTATATTAGTGCACTTGGCATTAAACATGAAATATTTCTAATCATATGAGATCATAACTGCCACATCGTATATGAGACAAAAAAAGACCAAGAGTAATGATGAAAGAGGTTATTCATGCTCACATATAGTTCAGGTTTTCAACAAAGATGCAGCAAGGCTTCAAAACAAAAGAGAAAAATGAATAAAGAAACAATCTTTTGGGGCCTCAAATAACCTTTAACCATCTGTGTTCCTTTCTAACAAATACTGCAGAGCATTTTTATTTTTTTTTGATAAAAGAAGAAATTTTTATTGAGAAAAAGAATCAAAAAATAGGATACATCATGGAGGACAAGAAATCCTCCAACATAATAAAAAAAAACGCAAATTAAAGAATAACTATGCGTTGACACTATAGCAATGCCGCAGTCCAATCCTGTTGAAGATCCGAAAGAGGCAACCCTGTAAAACTTCCTGTGGCTTTCGTCCATAGAGAACCCATAAAAACAACCCTTTCCTCTGAAGGCAGAATATGATTATTGAATATTCTTACATTCCTCTCCCTGCAAATGCACCAAATTAGTGACATAAAGCACAATCCCATAGTACCTTTGCTTCCTTTTTCTTTCTAAAAGCCCAAAACTTAATATGCAACAATTCTTCTATTGTAGAATGACAAATCCAAACTTCACCGGTCAGCTTGAATAAATTATTCCACAATCCCCATGCAAAAGTGCAATGAACGAACAAATGAGCATTCGATTCTCCACTATTCAAACAATTAAGACAAATATGAGGGCTCAAAGCTGTAAAGAGCCTTCGAATTCTGCAACAAATCGCTAGTGTTCACCCTATTAAGGATAACAGACCAAGTAAAAGCCTTAATTTTTTAGGAAACTTTCACTTTCCAAATAAATTTGGCTAGAAAAAAAAAAACTCAACATTTTGGGGACTAACAAGATGTGAGTAGAAAGACTTACAAGAGAAAATTCCAGATTTATCTACAGTCCAAATCCTACAATCAAAAGAAGAATTGGGGAAAAAATCTTGAAGAATATGAAACAATGAAGTCAAATTAAGAGCTTCCCTATCAGTAAGATTACTAAAAAAACGAAAATCTCATGAATAAGACTCTCTCCCCAAAACAAGAAAAGAGGATAGGAGCTTCATGAAGTGAAGACAAATGATAAAGACAGGGAAATGTATTATAGAAAGATGAATCTGCCATCCATATATTTTCCCAAAATAGAACTTTAGAAGTATCTCCTACTTGATACCGAGACAAAGGAAGAAAAGAAAGATAAACCTGTGAAATAAACTTCCAAGGGCTCGCTACATTATCCCCTGATTTAGTATCCCACCCATTCCTCTAAAGATCATACTTACTCCTAAATATCTTATGCCAAAGAGTTACGTTCTAACAAGAACCTCCATAACCATTTACCTAAAAGAGAAATGTGTCTAGACACCAAATTACCAAGTCACAATCCCCCCTTTATCCATGGGCTTACACAGTGTTTCCCAACCCACCAAATGATCCCTCTTAACTTCTTCTACCCCAGACCAAAGAAAATCTCTCATCATCTTCTCTAGTTTCCTAACAATTGCTACAAGGATTCAGAACAAATACAAGTAATACAAGGGAATGCTAGACAAGCAAGCCTTTATCAAGGTGATCCATCCTCCAAGAGAGAAACAGGTCCTTTTTCAACCATCCAATCTTTTGGTTATTCTTTCTACAACCGGGTTCCAAAAAGGTAAAGAATTGGGTTTCCCTCCAATGGTAATCCTAGGTACATCATAGACCACACATGTACAACATAACCTGCAGAGCATTAATCACCTCATGCAATGCCCTTCCATGTTTGGAACTAATAACAAAGTCCGATCCAAATGGGGTAACCCGCTCTAGATTAGGAAATCTTCTATATGGAATTTAAATATAACCCCATAAATTATGTTCAAGAAAACTTGTATGCTAATCTCTGTGAAGACTCCAATCCAAAATCAATGAAGAAAATTATGAAACTTAGGGGTGCACTGGCTACAATGCTTTACTAGTAAGTTCGCAATTTGAAAGCTCGTAGATTTAGGCTATTGAAAACAGAAATTAGTTTTAGGCTCTGTGCATGATTTGAGATTGCTTGATTTCGAAAGTGGAAGTGTTTGGTTAGAAGAACTTCAGAGAAGTGTTGTCTTTTGGACACCAATTATATTGAGGATTTCAGCAACAACTTGGGGCCAATGATGTAGCTCAAAGTGGAGAATCCGATGCTACAGAAATGGTGGTGAACCTAAATTACCTCTGGTCTAGCAAAACAACTTCAGATTTGCAAATCTGCATAAATCCAGCTAAATATGGCAGAGACTGCAATACAAGAAGTGGAACTTTAACCAAGAGAAAAATTAAGAAACCCAAGGAAGACTAATATGAAACATTTATCTACCAAAATCTTCACTGATATCTTCTATTGCATCACACCTGTTCATAGCTAGAGGACAAATTTTGTAGAGATGGTAGCTTTTTGCACTGGGTATGACTTGAACTCTACAGTACCCAATACATCAAAGACCAATTAACAAACCTGGGCCCCGTTTGGTTATCATCTGAAAAACAGTTTTTTATTTTTAAAATTTTAAAAACACCCAAAATCTGTTTATTTAGCATTTTTGTTCTCAAAATTTTCGAAATAAATGAGATTTGGAACACAAAAACAGAAAACAAGCTAGGCTTGTTTTTTGGGTTTTATTTGAAAATTATGAAAACACGGAAAATGCACAGATCCTATTTACTGTGCACTTATTGTACCAATATAAAAGCTTTTTTTTTTTTTTTTGCATTCTTTTTCCCTCACCTCTCTCTCTTGTGTCGACACTACGGATGTCTTCAACCCATAGATCCGGTGATTGGAAGCACAGATCCAGCGACCGGAAACACATATCCTTTGGTGCTGACTGTGGGTGTTGGGTGGTGGTTGTGGGTATTGGGTGGTTCTCGGTGTGGGTTGGGGGTGGTTGGGGGTGTTGGGTGGTTCTCGATTTGGGTGGTGGTCTTTGGTGGTGAGTGTTGGGAGGTTCTCAGTGTGGGTTGGTAGTGGTTGTGGGTGTTGGGTGATTCTCGGTTTGCTTGGTGGTGGTGGTTGTGGGTGGTGGGTTTGGGTGGTTCTCAGTTTGGATTAATGTTGGTTGTTGGGTTGATCAGTGTTGTGAAAAACTCGCCTAGGCGAGAAGCGAGGCAAGGCGAGCATATCTCGCCTGGAGGACCCCAGGCGAAGCAAACGTGAGCGAAGCGAGAAAAAAACGAGAAAAAGCAAAAAAGCATTTGCTTTATTATAAAAAGCAAGAAATGTTTGATTTTTAATTTGAACCGTTGGATTGGATGATTGGAAAAAAAATTATAAGATGAGATACACCGAATTATCCCCTTATCTAATAAATAAAACCAGAAACCCTAATTTATCCCTTAATTAGGAGGACTACACAGAAGTTCGAAGCTCGTTGCTCGCTGCTACACAGAAGCTTGTTGCTCGC